ACACATACACATACACATACACATACACACACATACATACACCCACACACACACACAATGAAATCACCACTACGATTCTTAGTGGAAGTCTAATGTGAGGGCATATCTCAGGTGCTGGTTTATCAACGCCGAAGGTTCAATCCTTTAAGGAAGTATGCTCGATAGTTCAAATGCTGCGTGAGTCTGGTTGGAATAGCGTTTGCCTGTTGCTTTTGAACACCGCAATTTTTCGAGACATCGCACGCCTACGCATAGGAACAAAACTCTCCATTTATGTCCTTTTATGATATGACCCTTCCATACAAGATAAATAAAAAAGTCTCGGAAGTGCGACAGTTATATAACCCTGCGATTTTAATTTCACCCCAGTTCTTTCAGCCATTTCCTTTTCCTTGCCATTCCTTATATCATGTATAGGTTCAGTATGATGACTTCGTTGTGTAGTGGGTCGAGGTCGTGTAGGATGCAGGCCGTCTGGCGAGGAACAAGCAAATCGCTCGCTCCAGCTTGTCCTCGGTGTGGCCGTCCTCTTGTTCTCTGTATCGTAACTATCTATTGATTCAACGACTCATTTCAACTTGCACACCACGCAAGAACAGGTCACGACCCCAATGATCAGACCTTAGCAGGAGGCGGAGGCTGCGCAGCTAGAAGCGAAGCATTTAAGAGATGGCAGGTGAAGGAGGTCAGCGATTTCGAGGGCGAGTTGGCCCGGGCGATAAATTTCACCGATTACCAACTTCCATACGACCTGTGGTTTGAAAAGGGTTGATGTCTACCTCCGCTGGGCCATTTTACTTATCACTATTAATGCACAGTATCCGATAACCTGTGTTGTCCATGCCTCACTGAGGTGAAATTCCAAAATACCACTGTGCTGTAACTGTTCACAAATCATTTTTGTAATTTAAAATCTGGGGAATGCCTTCGTTTCAAAGGCTAGCTGATAGATTTTCTTGGATTACCCTTTGATAACTCATGTTACACAACATTTTGGTAGTAGTTAGAGGTCGCAGATTGTAAATTTATGCTTGCGATAGCTCTCAATTAAAGTATATGATAGTTCAGGTTCTGTCAGGTATTACGTATCTTGGAAATTACGAAGACTCACATAACCACTCCAATGTGATAGCTTTGTTTGATTTTTTGAAGGTGCCCGATTTTTTTTGCATTATATCTTATTTTAGTGACAAGCTAATCACTATTCAAAGTAGTTTTCTGTTGCCAGATTTTTTCAGTCTCAGATTTTCAGGATATGCTCCCCATTCCCAGTGTCTCAGGTGCCATCTTGGATAGTGATTATGTTAAAGAGGTTTGTTTCGACGGTGAGTGTGCCTAGAGGCGAATTCGACCAGAGTTTTTCAGGACAGTAAGAATGAATGGGACATCGAGTTCTCAGAATTAGAACTTGTTTCAATCGTTGTCTACAACATCCTACAACGAAGTCCGGTTATTGCTGAAAAACTGTTATCTATGAGCGGCGTTTGGAAACCTCGGTAATTAAAGCGAGAAAATTGAGTTTTTCTGTTGGTAGTCCATTTCTCCTCAGATTCCAATATCTTGTAAACGTCATACGAGTGTACACTCGGTGTCTGAAGAAGAAATTGGACAATGAAGCTGAGACCGAAGAAGAAGATAATACGATGAATATCAAACTGCTGAGAGCAGCGAATAATGTCGGGTGAGTAGTAAGGCTTTGTGCAGTCATCCGTACCCAATCGGTCTGTAATTTACAACAAAAGATTTCAGTTTAATAGCGAATTGTTTTCTTGTCAACATATGTGACCTTCATGTGAAGATCTTACCGTCCTGGATCGTTCGCAAGCGGCGAGGTTAGTTCCGACTTTTAGGAAAGTGGTGTTTTCGGTATAGTTCTCATTGAACTTGATTAGATTGTTCTCTTAGTAGAAGTGTAGACCTTTCTTTACAATGTATTCCATATGTTTAGTTGCTTGATAAACAATCAATGGGTATTTAGTTGTATCTCAACAAGATGGNATCTCATCTCAGATGGCCACTGCGACCTAGTATCCTTCCCTTGTTAGTAGAAGTGTGGACCTTTCTTTACAATGTATTCCATATGTTTAGTTGCTTGATAAACAATCAATGGGTATTTAGTTGTATCTCAACAAGATGGCTTCAATCCTAAACGAAGAAGACAAAAGCGATAGGATGATCGTCTGTCTAGGGTCTTCGGATAACCATGCCTTCTCCTACATTTTCACTATAACTTGTGTTCTCCACGTCGAAGAAATCCGAGGTCTTGGAAGTAGTAAAACAAGCGGTTGCTCATTTTCATAACGGCGATGCAGGCGCAAAACGGAGCAATCCAACTTTACCCACCGAGACCATTTCTTACAAGGGCGACACGCCAGAACAACCGTTAGTTGCGTTGACTATTTCCAAAGTTGTCCACGCATTTTTCATTGTTATCTACTCGCTATTGAGTCACTTCAACGGTATCGATCTGAACAAGGATTCAAAAATGAGGCCTTCACTACTTCTATTGTCATGAAATTGGTTATAACGGGTTTTTCAAATAGCAAGTCGAAAGAAAGAGAATCCTCACCCTGGATTTGCTTCTTGGAGAATTTCGAAGGTCGAACGGAGTGTTGCGCTCACCGCATACCATTCCACGCTGTGAAGGAGGAAATTCGTATTCTCAAAGTATTTTATGGTAACCGCTGCGAAACTACTGTCGTTTGTCGTGAGAATTCGTGTAAAAATAAGATCAGTCAAGGGTTGTATGAAGTGAGACAATGTTTCCGGGTAATTTCGCGAAAAATGAGTTCACAGTGGAATATTTCATTTCCCCATTGGTTGGTCATCCACTTTCCATTCAAGTCTTGAAATGTATTATTGACGAAGATGTAAATTCTTATGACCTACGTCCCAGTGTGTTCATCTTACATGTACCTATGAATTGCTCTGTTTACTGGTTCCTTTTCACCTCTCAATACGACAGATTTCAGTAGCACCCAACTTTCTTAATGTGCAATCAGATCTCCTTTCTAAACGAAACGTTGCTGGACACGTTCCTTACGGTTCAGTGTTGTGAGAATGTTTATTTTATTCGTTTAATGTCTTGTTTGAAAGAAGTACTTGCTCAAGAATGAATTTCTGCATCTCAACCGAATTTTATAATAAAACAAATTTTGTGGATTTCTGACCTCCGATTTTGGGAACAGCATCTCTTCGAACTGCTCCTACTTTCGGCGACGCTTATCGTTTTGATTCTGTTTCTAGATCCGAAGTGAACAAAGCGACAGTTGAGTACTTAGGACGAGAGGCCGCTTTGATCCGCCCGAATAAGTTTCCAGATGAAGTTTTTCGAGGAACCGTGTTTCATATAGGGGGATTGTTGCTAGGAAGCATAGCATATGGCCGGATGAGAGCAAACGAGAGCTGGGAAGAGGAGCTTGTGTTCTATATTATGTCACATTGCACCTACTCATGGTTAACTGCTGACCTCCTTCTCGAACTCAGCTGAAATAATGTCGATTCAATGAGTTACACACTTCATTTCTATTTTCATAACAACAGCACATTTTACAACAGCAAGACGAATCGCAGAGTAAAGTCATGTCATCTTACCGTAATTCGGTGCTTTCCTAAAGTTTGTTTTTTTAAGCTATTGATGTTATTTATCTACTTGGCTATTGAGCTGAATCCGACGGCTAGCACGTCATATAAGTGCCTGCCGACAAACATCCGAGACCCCTTCTTAACTATCCTATCAAAGTGCAATGGCTCCTTCGTTAACACAAGGGAGGTAATGGATCTTGGGGCTCTTGCTTTCTAAAGCTCCTTGTCAGCTCCTATCAATTGTTATCTCTCCCTGCCACCTATCATTAGTGTTCCCATACTGCCGCCTGTATGCGTCTCAAATTTGATCTCTCTAAGTCCAGGGGGACGGGAGTTATGAATATCCGGTCGAACACACACACACACACACACACACACACACACACACACACACACACACACACACACACAC